AACAATATCAACTAGGATAACAACTTTGTTATCAGGTCAGCTCTTTTACAAACAAAACAAAAATGCTCACAAGCGTCGCGGATATTTAAGTGATTATTTTTCGTGGAATGCTTATAATGGACTGTAAACGGTGATCCTTGTAGTCGAAAGTAGGCACAATTTCCCCCTACTTCCAAGTTCACCATTCACCGCTGCCAGTATTTCAGCAGCAGATTCGCAGGTTTCGACTCTCGTATCCGAAGCACATGTTCCCTCGTAATATTGGCATGCGCTTCGAAAACTGGCGGTCCACGCGTTGGCAATGCAGAACACGCCTCTTAGTCGAGGTACACTTGAGGAAGTAATTACTTAAAAATAATATTGTTGGGGAAACACTAACAAGTGTATAAATGTCAGACACTACACCAGCTGACAAAAACAATTCGTGGCATAGGAATTAATTGTTCTTGTGTCCAGCTTCACAACAAAGAATAGAATATATAGCAACCTCCTCGTCTTACTATAGGATATGAACGCGTCATCTTCAAAATGCACATTAATATTCCGCGCGATGAGGATCTGATACTAATACTGATCCTCTTGACAATGGGAGAAGAATTATTCTTATTTTTAGGATGAACTTACTGCACTTATTTATGTGTTTACCAAATGGATCAAGGTTCAGGCGCCGTTTCGTTACAGGTATGAGTAAATCCGCAAGCTAAATGATTCTATGGAGGACATTATCCCTGATATCTGTTCTGGACGATTAGTCTGGCATTGCTGTGCAGTCAGTAGAGTTTTTTATGGTTTTATTTGATGGACAGTTCGCTAAAATTTGTTGTCGGATTCATTATGTTTAGGAAGCTAGGGATCCGAAATCTGTCCGTAATGCATGGCGTCTCCCCTTGAGAGTCGGAATAGAAAAGGAACGGAAATGTTGGTTGCAACCCTATGTGTCGACCCCCTCGCTTTGTCCGTGGTGATGTTCAAAGAAACCAGGGTCTCTTGTGTCCGTCAAGCTACACATCGAGAACAAAAGCGTTGTTCCTTTAAGAGAATTATGCTCTGCGTTGATCACCCATCAACAAACAAAATTAGTTATGTAATCCCTGTAGTGTTTAGATTTGAGATATGCTGTAAGTTCCGATAGCGAGATTTAAAACTACACTGGCGCCAATTGGGAGGCTGTGTCGAAGCACCCACTACTTGCTGTCGTGGCAGGCTGTAGATCTCAGTTGTGTATCCTGTTTGTAAACAATTCCGCTTTTATAGATGACTGCGAACATGGGACATCGTATATCATTCGCATTTTATTTTACCAGTCCTCTAAGATTTTCTTGTTTCAGTGAGTAGATGAATGAACGTGCGAGTGAATGAATGTTAGTACAAATACATTTGTGTTTGTGACCATGGGTTCGTGAGAGTGCGCGCGCACGGACGTGAAATTGTAACTGCGTCTGCAACGAGAGTGCTACGTCATACTTGGCCATTAACCGTAATTTGTTCGAACATTGATCCGGTTGAGCGAAGCTTGCATTACCGTCAGTTGTTCTGTGTCTTTATAAGTGTGGAGCTGTTTGCATTCTTAAACTTGGTTAATTAGGCGGCGGCGGGATGTGTGTTGCCGGAGTCGCACAAGCTGTCACAACATACAAATTGTACTCCTCCGGAGCATGATTGTTCGTCACACTGTGGCTGCCTGTCCGTGTGAACAGGCCCTAGACGCACTTGTGCTGCAGTTTCTGTTGACTGAATTAAGACGTGATGCCTGGAGAGACCCGAAAAGACTATCTGAAGAATAAGTGGCGAGGAGACGTATTTAAAGATGAGAAAGGAAAGGAAAGACAGATGGAAAGAAGAAGGGAAAGGTTAAAAGGGGAGGGGAGGAGAAGGGAGGGGAAGGGAATTCAGGGTCAGAGAGTAAAAGGGTGTTGTTCACCCTGTTACTTGACAGCTGTCTCTCCTCGCAGGTGTCATGCTGTTAAAGCCTCGGGACCCTGCATGCCTTTCCTATCACCGAATTTGTCACTTATTAAACGTTATTAGTCCGACCGACAACAACCGCGCTGGCATGACAAAGAGTTGATGATCTCAGAGTGGTACTGCAACCGTGCTGCCTGGAGGTGACACACAGGGAGTCCCGCTTATGGAGGCTTTTGCATGACGCTGGGGGATGTAGAGTGATATGCGTGTGTCTCTGCCAAGGCTGTGCATATTGTATGGTGCATGTCGCAGCGATTCTCAAGATCACGAAGGGGACCCGAAGAAGCTAGCGTGAAGAATGTGCAAGTGAGAGTGTGCACGGAAGGACTCGGAGCGCAACGAGGCTGCCCATTGTTGCATAAGGCCATTAAGGTGTTGGTGTATTGCGTGACCACGAGGTGACGCCGTCGTTTTCCTCGAGCTGCACAGGGATGTACTTTGTGACGAAGGAGTGACGCAGCGAAGGACGCAAATCATGAAATGGTGCGATGCATCATTGCCACAAGATCCGGAAAAATCGTAGGACGATTTATGGGTAAGGAAATGAGAGGTTTAAGAAGGCTGAACAGTGATGCATTGTTGATAGTGGGGACAAGTTGTTGGTGATGGGGAGTGGGTTTCTGCGTTGCGCATGGGGGTGGGAGGGAGGGAGAGATGGGGGCGAGAATGAAGAATGGGTTGGGGGATGTTGAGAGCCCAGCTGCTCTTGGCTTGGGCGTGATACATCAAACATTTTCACGGCTTGCTGAGGGTCACGGTGGGCGGAGGAAGGAGAATGATATGTGTGGTGGGACCTATGTGTGTGCATGTCTGTTGAGGTCTGCAAGGGCAAAGAAACAATTACCGTTGTATACATGATCTAGTGGTTAAGACTTGAATTTTCCGTGTCATTTTTCTCTTTCACCGGCCATACACAACATTATGCGTCCCTCCCCCCTCCCTTCCCCCTTCTTGCCTCCCTCCCTCTTCCTCCCTTCCCCCTCCCTCCCCCCTTCCTCCCTCCCTCTCCCCTTCCCCCTCCCTCTCCCCTTCCCCCCTCCCCTTCTCTTCCTTTTCCTCCTCCTCCTCACTCCCCCATCCCCCTCCCTCCTTCCCCCCCCTCTCCCCCCATCCTCCCTAGCCGCCCTCGCAAGAACACAGCCACGTATTAAAGGTGGCCACACAAGCGCCTCCATCTTCGGAGCAGTCTTATTTCATTCATACCCGTCTGCCTTCTCTCTCTCTCCCTCTCTCTCCTTCCTCGCGCTCTCTCTTTCTCTTCTTTCGTTATCTTCTGATCAACGTCTGGTCCTCCGGCTTGTTCTGTGGGCGTGATCCACCTCCGCCGCCCGTGCCGTCGCCAGGAAACAGGCACGAACGGGAGACATTGCGATGCAGGGCGGAGGTGACGGCGCCTCATAGCTGAAGTGCGACACTGCATACCGGCAGGCGCAGGCAAAGGCATGGACGGCTGCAGGGGGCGCTGCTGAATCCCTGTTCTCTCTCTCTCTCTCTCTCTCTCTCTCTCTCTCTCTCTCTCTCTCTCTCTCTCTCTCTCTCTCTCTCTCTCTCTCTCTCTCTCTCTCTCTCTCTCTCTCTCTCTCTTCTTTGGCGGGGCACGTGCATTGCTCTGTTTTCAGTTTTCGAAGATGTATGGGTGTGCGGTCTGGGTGTGCGGAGACACAGGGACCGTAAGCAGGGCGGTGTGTTAATACGTGTGGCGGTGGTGGTGGTGGTGGCCGGGTCGATGCTTGGGGTGTGGAGCTTCGGAGAGGTGATCGATAAGCCCTCCCACGCCCCCTGCCCTCCCTTCCCTTCTCTCCTCTCCCCTCCCCTCCCCTCCCCTCCCCTCCCCTCCCCTCCCCTCCCTCCTCTCTCCCCTTCTTCTCTCCTCTCCCCTCCCCTCTCCCCTTCTCCTCTCCTCTCCCCTTCTCTCCCCTCTCTTCTCTCCTCTTCTTTTCTCTTCTCTACTCTTCTCTCATTTCTTCTCCTCTCCTCTCCTTTTCTCTCCTCTCTTCTCCTCTCCTCTCTTTTTTCTCCTCTCTTCTCCTCTCATTTCCTCTCCTCTTCTCACCTCTCTTCTCTCATTTCCTCTCCTTTTCTCACCTCTCTTCTCCTCTCATTTCTTCTCTTCTCCTCTCCTCTCCTCTCTTCTCTTTTCCCCTCTCCTCCCCTCTCCTCTTCCCAATCCTCTCCTCCCATCTCTCTTCTCTCCTCTCCCCTCTACCCTCATTTCTCCTCTTATCCCCTCTCATCTCCTCTCTTCTCCCCTCTTCTCTTTTCCCCTCTCCTCTCATTTCTTCTCCCCTCTCCTCTCCCCTCCCCTCTCCTTTCATTTCTTTTCCTTTCATTTCTTTTCCTTTCCTTCCTTCCCTTCCCTTCCCTTCCCTTCCTTCCTTCCCTTCCCTTCCCTTCCCTTCCCTTCCCTTCCCTTCCCTTCCCTTCCCTTCCCTTCCCTTCCCTTCCCTTCCCTTCCCTTCCCTTCCCTTCCCTTCCCTTCCCTTCCCTTCCCTTCCCTTCCCTTCCCTTCCCTTCCCTTCCCTTCCCTTTCGTCTATCTTCTTCTCTCTTCTCTCTACTTGCCTCTCCTCTGCTCTCCTCTTCTCTACTCATCTCTCGTTTCCTCTATCCTCCCCTCTCCTCTCTCCTTTCCTCTCCTCTCCTCTCCTCTCCTATTCTATCTTCTTCTGTTCCCATTTCCTGTCTCTTCCCCTCTTCTCTCCGCTCCTCTCCTCTCCTCTCTTCTATGTGTGTGTGTGTGTATGTATGTGTGTGTGTGTGTGTGTGTGTGTGTGTGTGTGTGTGTGTGTGTGTGTGTGTGTGTATGTGTATGTATGTATGTATGTATGTGTATGTGTGTGTGTGTGTGTGTGTGTGTGTGTGTGTGTGTGTGTGTGTGTGTGTATGTGTATGTGTATGTGTATGTGTATGTGTGTGTGTGTATAAACATATGTTTATATATATGTATGTATATTGTATATATATATATGTATATATATATATATGTATATATATATATATATATATATATATATATATATGTATGTATATATATATATATATGTATGTATGTTTCTGTATATGTATATATATATATATATATATATATATATATATATATATATATATATATATATATGTATAATTTATATTTACATATTCATATATACCTATATATTCATGTTTATACATATACATACATATATTTATATATACATAAACACACACACACACACACACTCACACACACACGCGCGCACGCACACACACACACACACACACACACACACACACACACACACACACACACACACACACACACACACACACACACACACACACACACACACACAGACCCACACACACACACACACATATATATACACATATATATCCGCACATATAATGATAATCTCTGTTTGGCTCCTGTCTCCGTGTCGTATTGCTCCAACCGAGTGTTTCTTTCCTCCCGCTCTGACCTCCGCTGGCCATGGGGTGTGACCCTGAAACCCACTTGTTCCTCTCTTTGGCTTAATTATCTCTCCCAATCACTTTAAATGCATAATTACCCTTCCCGATCCTCGACCCTCACTTGGATTCGCCACACACACACACACTTGTTACCCCCCCCCCCCCCCTGCTCTCCCTTCCCCTCGGTTCCCCCTCGGATGTCCCCTCGGGTTTTATTTATTTGTTTGGTTGTTTATTTATTTATTTATTATTTTTATGGTGGAGGAAGGTTTCTCTTTATCGGGATTTTCTCTCTATATTCTAACTTTTTTATCATTGAGTCCGAATCCCTCTCCTCTCTTTCTCTCTTTCTAATTCTCCCTTTCTGTCTTTCTTTTTTCCCTTTTCCCCCTTTTCCCTTTCTCTTTCATTCTTTCATTCTCTCTTACTCTCTCTTTTTCATGTATTTTCTTTCTCTCTCTTTCTCTCTTTCCCCTCTCTCTTTTTCTCTCTTTCTTTCTACCTCCTCTCATACTCTTTCGCTCTTTTCTTCCTTCCTTCCCTCCTTCCTTCCCTCCTTCCCTCCTTCCCTCCTTCCCTCCTTCCTTCCCTTCCTCCCCTCCTTCCCTCCTCCCCTCCCTCCCTCCCTCCCTCCCTTCCTTCCCTTCCTCCCCTCCTTCCCTCCTTCCCTCCCTCCCTCCCTCCCTTCCTTCCTCTCTTCCTCCCCTCCTTCCCTCCTTCCCTCCCTCCCTCCCTCCCTCCCTCCTTCCCTCTCTTCCTCCCCTCCTTCCCTCCGTCCTTCCCTCCCTCCCTTCCTTCCCTTCCTCCCCTCCCTCCCCTCCTTTCCTTCCTCCCCTCCTTCCTTCCTTCCTCCCTCCCTTCCTTCCTTCCTTCCTTCCTTCCTTCCTTCCTTCCTTCCTTCCTTCCTTCCTTCCTTCCTTCCTTCCTTCCTTCCTTCCTTATTTTCCTAGTCGTCTTGCCCATGTCGCTCCACTGCAAACGTAAATAGAATTTGCGACCGAGTGGTTTCAGGCCCTTGTGTCCGTAACGAGTGGTTCTGCTCCCTTCTTCCCTTTGTCGTAGCTGGTTGTTCCGGACACGCAGACACAGATACATACGCAGATACGCACACAGACACACACACGCACACAGAGACACAGACGCACACAGAGACACACACGTACACAGAGACACACACGTACACAGAGACACACACGTACACAGAGACACACACGTACACAGAGACACACACGTACACAGAGACACACACGTACACAGAGACACACACGTACACAGAGACACACACGTACACAGAGACACGCGCGCACAGAGACACATACGCAACCACAGAGACACACACGCACACAGAGACACACACGCACACAGAGACACACACGCACACAGAGACACACATGCACACAGAGACACACACGCACACAGAGACACACACGCACACAGAGACACACACGCACACAGAGACACACACGCACACAGAGACACACACGCACACAGAGACACACACGCACACAGAGACACACACGCACACGCACACAGACACACACACACACACACACACACACACACACACACACAGACATACGCGCACACAGACACACACGCCCACAGAGGCACACGCCCACAGAGACACGCGCACACAGAAACACACGCCCACAGAGGCACACGCCCACAGAGGCACACGCCCACAGAGGCACACGCCCACAGAGACACACACGCACACAGAGACACACACGCACACAGAGACACACGCACACACACTCACAGACATACGCGCACACAGACACACACGCCCACAGAGGCACACGCCCACAGAGACACGCGCACACAGAAACACACGCCCACAGAGGCACACGCCCACAGAGGCACACGCCCACAGAGACACACGCCCACAGAGACACGCGCACACAGAAACACACGGGCACACAGAGACACACACACCCACACAGACACACGCCCATGCAGAGAGACACGCGCACACAGAGACACGCGCGCACGCGCACACGCACACACGCGCACACACACACACACACACACACACACACACACACACACACACACACACACACACACACACACACACACACACACA